TTACAGTTAAATGATGTGACATTATACAACATTTAAAAAAATGCAAAACTATAATTTTGCCTGTAGTTTTGTGTAGATGTGAAACGTTGTCTCGTACTTTAAGGGAGGAACATAAACTGAGGGTGTCTGAGAGCAGGGCGCTGAGGAGAATATATGGACCCAAGAGGGATGTTGGACGACTGTTGGCTTCTCAGGAAGAACTCAGCTCCATGGAGTAAGAACACGTTGTTGTTCTTACCTAACACAGCCGTCATCCCACCTGCTTTAGACAGAGTACTCGTACATGGGCCTGTCAATTTCGTGACCTTCCCTTGTCATATCCGCAGGCAGGGAATAAATGACAAGAAACGGCGATCAGCGAAGCATTTGGACACAAGGCAATTCTGGGTAATGCGTAAGGGGGGGCTGGCATAACAAACAGGACAGTGATATCAACGACGTTAATGTGGGCTTGACATGCAGCACGGATGACAGGCACAGCCGTTGCATGCACGCAGACGGAAGAACCGGAAGACGTCATTGAGGCTGAAATATGGCGGATGCAATTTTCTCTGGGTTGTGCTCTGTGGCGAGCTCGTGTGTGAGAAGACGGATAAATTTAGGAAGACGATGCAGTCTGAATGTCCACTGGCGCGTATTTATACGAAATATTTACAAAGGATCGTGGATCAGATGATGAACGAAACACGACCGCAGCCCACGCCAACACGTGCACACGGGGTGAACGCTTTCAAAACTTTGAATCTGAATTTGGAGAAACTTTCTCATTGGCTGGCGATGAGGTAATACCCCTCATTTCACGCCTCGGAAGTCTTACCCTCCCATCCTCAATCGCTCATTGCCGCTCATTTGTTTAACAAAATTGTCATTGTTGAATTTACAATGATTTTACGATTTTAAAGTCTTCTCAGAGAGGCCCTGTGCTATCTCAAAGTGTCTCCAAAGACAAAAGGATTTTCTGTGTGCACGAGATTTAATTATAAAACAGCTCCTTCCCTCCTCACGACACATCTGCAAATGTTTGCACAGATGATTCATTTTTTGTGTGCATGAAACTTGCGAAAAAAAAAACGTTACACAATCCGCTTTGAACAACAGATTATATCAAATTGTGGTGACATCATAATGAACAAGGAGATGCAGACTGATACCACGACAACCGCGAGCAAAGTGCGTGACACAGTTAGAGAAATCAAGATAAGGCAACAATGCGGCCAAGCGATAAAATTAAAAACAGATTAATCTGAGTAGACAAATGACATGTCGAACACAGGGCTGATGAATGAAGACGCCACCAGAGTACCTCGCAGGTCGGAGGAAGAAAGTCAATCAGTCCATTGTGAGATAGGTCATAAACAGCTACGGTGTGTCCTACCAGACGTCGGAATGTTTACAAATTCAGAAGATTCTGGGAAGGTGTCTTCAGCCAGAGAGGGGGCCCCAGCTTCATCGAATACTCCAGATGACGTTCCAGAGTCACCGAGCATTGACATATCCACCAGTTCAAATGTTTCAGAGTTGCCACAATCTACAAAATCGGCAGACGTGTCTAGAAATGTAAATTCAAGAGAAACTTCGCCATCTACAGGAAAGTTCAAATCAACGGCAACTCCCGATGGACTTCAGGAAGAAGACGGGGAAATGAGATCAAGCACCGAGAAAGATTTGGAACTCTCGTCAACAAACGATAATTCAGCGTCCAGCTCGGAAGAAAGACTGTCTTATGGGACTGCTCGGGGAACAGATTTATCAGGGTCTACTTTTAGAGGAAGACGACAGTCACGTGGCTCAACAGAATCAAAACAATTTGCAGTTCCTTCCGATGTTTGGAGTTTCACTAACAATGCGTTTGAACCTGAAGTCACTCAGAAGGAAGATGGCGTCCAGGTAGGTCTTATTATGAAGCTTAAAACGGAAATTTTGTTTAAGTGTATCAACAGGGACACCATCATTTGAAAATATTGCGAATCCGAGGAAACTGACGAGTTTCTTCTGAATGTTACTTCAAGAAGTATTTTTTTAATTTTAGACCGCATATTCAATATCTATTGTAATGTGTGGCACCTGCAGACCTAATACGGGCGTCCTTTATGGAATATCGATATATTGGGGGGGGGGGGGGGGGGGGCAAGAAGGGCAGTTACACTGTTATAACATTTACGTTTGGAACGATGTTAACTCAGGAGCGTCTGGTTGTATTTGTCAGACTAAACTATTACGAAAGACTCGGTCAGATTTGTGCGGCTACAAAAGTGTAATAGCAAAATAAAATGCTCCTGGATTTCGTGACTTTCTGTTCTCTGCATTTATACGAATGTCAATGGAACATAAAACATTCGAGCAAATATGGTTTCTTAATATGCGTGCAAATAAATACATCTTCTACGAATACTACTACGCATCGATTCTAAAGGGTTCTAACGATGGCGTAATACAATCTGGATGCCTGCCACCATCATCAGGGCGATAAGATCGATTGCTGGGTTCTTGGACCTTGTCCATCGTCTGATGTTATAAAATTTCACAATGTCCAGTGATTGAGAAATTAGCCCATTCTAATGCAGAGTAGGTGCCCTCCCCTCCACTACACCTGAAGACGAGGACAGATCCAGGTCCAAGAACCCAGCAATCGATCTTATCGCCCTGACGACGGAGGTGTATTTTGATAGTTGTTTTTCTTAAATGTTATATTTGAGGTTTTCACTGCGCTAAGATTTCTGATCTGGCTATCTTGGTTGTGAAGTCTTGTAGGTGGTTACTTCTACCCTGCAGATGTTGTCTGAGACGTTGGTTACCATCTGCAAGGTAACTCAGCGTCACAACCCAGAAGATGACAGCCTGGACTCCTTAAGTATTCCTTCCGCCACGTAAAAGGTTAAGTTGAGTAAGTACACATGCAAACGGGCCGATATTCACTGATTCGAGACGCCTCGGACAAAATCGTTCGGCCTTTTTTCGCACTTCGAGCTCACTGTCTCCCGTCTCCGAGCCAGCCTAGGAATTGCACGTTGTGACGTGAGTAATAACGGGAGACCTGGGTACTACTGATATGACGAGGCACACATCAAGTGCCTACTCCGTGCGTGTCGTGTTCCATCGTTTCAGTCCATGTGAGTAGGCCTTTTCTCACACCCGGTCCACGTTCTTCATAAGATTAGTCCGAAGTACGCAACTAAGGACGAATGTTCTTACTTCGTAATCGACAGGTCCAAAGTTCGAATTACGCCCTGAAGAAAGTTGTGTCTATGGTTACCTCATTTCTTAAGAGCAAAGCTAACCTAACCTAACTTCAAGCCGAACGCCGACAGATTTCCAATCCGCCCTTCCCAACGCTACGGAATCCTGTGCTGCTGACAACGCCATTAAATTAATTAGGAAACAAATGACAAATGCTTATCGTTCACAAGCCGTTTCGCTGAAAAATCAGAAGTCAGCGGCTGACAATCAACCTTACGGCGCTCGTGGCACACCTGGGATGTCATTTTCTTTTTGTGTGGCGTACTAGAATTGGATCGGAGAACTCGAATTTAAAATTGAATTACCCATTTTTAGAAATATTGCTTGGCTTGAGCCCGTTCATACAGGGTTTTGGTCATTATTATTTTCGCATCTTTCACTGTCAAGTTTTACTGTAATAAATCTGTCAAACTTTAGCGGCTCTACATGTAATAATCATTTTCTTGAACAGAAATTGTTTCCGGCGAAGGGCAGGCACAAACTCGACAAACCTTTTGCAATAATTGAGCGACGCAGACGTAGATATTTCCCGTTCCTGGTAGACTCTGTCAAGACACGAAGTCCGTAGGAATTAATTTGCGGCAAGGAGTGGGGTGAGGCGCTTTGATAGCCATTGTTGAATCACCACCAGCATTGTCATTAATTTCTGCTTCCAAGTTTTGCAAATATAAGTTTATTCTTATGCTATTAATATACTCAGTTACGGAAAACAATGCGATATTACCAATTAATTGTTTAAATACGCATATTTAATTTTACATTAATCGTTCTTCTATTCAAAACGCCGCGGCGAACTCAAGAAAAGCTCGCGGCACATTGGCTGCGAACAACTGCCCTAAGAAAATAAACTTCTTTTCTGAAATGAGATCTGAAATTGTCATTGCGGTAAAATTCCAGTTTTGGTCTTCTGTCTTATAACGCCCTGTGGATTTTCAGGTGGATACTAACATTTCGGATGCCCTCCTGAAGACGGAGACAGTATGTTCCTCCGAAACGCGTGTCTTCACTAACAAATCAAGTCGGCGCTACGACCCGGAAGACCAAAATCGGCATTTGTATTTCAAGCGGCGCTGAAATTGCTATCACCTCAGACGTTCACACGGACGCCATACTGTTTTAAAGATGGCAGGATAGGAAATTAAGGTAATTGGTCAGCTGGCCAAAGTTCTTCGGGCATCAGACAATACGACGCCACTGTGATAGTCTTTTCCTGCAAAAACGGGAAATATGCTAAAAACAACATTTACTTAAAACAGGGGTTTCTAAACTTTTCGTGACCTGATGCCACATTCCGCCCTTAGTTATCGACTCCCTGGCCGCAAGGCAATTCATCGAAACTTCATGGCATTTTATTAAAATATTAACTTACTACTGCACGAAGTTCATAAATTACTCATTAATTCCCTTGAATCACGCGAGTCACTTGAAAAGTGCTCTTGCTCAAAATCTGTCATTATCCTGTTGCTGTTATTCGCATGCGTCGCTCCAAGTGATCGGCAGTAAGACGCGTCCTGCTTGTTGTTAGTCAGCTTCTTCATTAAACTGAACGTTTGCTCACAGCGTTACTTTCTGACAAATATTGACGACATTTACAAAGCGCGTTCTTCGGTTATAATAGAAACACGTGACGAGGAAGAGAATTTTTCCTTTATCGTTGAATCACTGTGAATAACGGCAAATTCCAATTGTAGGTTAGGTTAGATTGGGCGTCGTCAATTTCCACCGAAACAGTAACTCAGAAGATCCATCATTCTTTGCCCATTCACGGTCCTGGTGCAGTTGCAATGTTTCTCTGAGTCACGCGTTCCACTTGCATTTACCCCCGCTGAAGTGGAGACACAGAATAGTTACTTAAACTTCCAGGTGGCTTTTCTGTAAGACGTTTCGTCTGAAAGCGTCCGACGAATTGGTAAAATATGCGAACGAGTTCGTCTTAGGCCTTGAAGGCGACAGTTAAGGTCGTTCAAATGCCCAGTCTTCTTCTTATTCTTCTCTTTCTTAGCAATTGGGCCCGGTTTGGCGGGGTCTGCTTTATTCCTATCTTTTTTTGGAGGTTGCTTGATCTATTTAGATCTGGTAGGACTCCTTGGGCGAGGGATCAGCCCGTCGCAAGGCCTCTACCTGTACACAGGTCAGCACAACACAGAAAGAAGCGGGCAAACATCCATGTTTTGAGTGGGATTCGAACCCACGGTCCCAGTGTCCAAGCGGCACAAGGCCCACGCGGCCACTGTGACCAGCGTTCAAATGCTCAGTAATGTTGACAAAATCCACTGAGAATCCCAAACTCATTAACAAAATTCTCTTTCGATTCCATGAAGTCCTGGACTTTGTTCCGCAAAGAAATTGCGCGGAGTAGGACTCCGGATCACTACTCTTAGCAAGCCTGCGGCTGAGACCTTTGGGCAGGACGAACTTCACACCTCTAGTGACGACAGCCAGGGAAGGATTCTGGAATCAAATTTTCTTTATCCACCGCAACGTAAATAATATTGTTATTCCTCCTTTGTAGCCTCAAGAGTGCATGCACGTCGTCCGCACTTACGGCAGACATGTTAATTTGTTTCCGATGCTTCTCTAAGGCACTCCGAACAACTGAGTACAAATCAGCGGCCTTCGTGCTGTTCTCGCGGTGGAGCAACGCAGCCACTTCCGCCATTATTTTTAAATTTTCGTCAGTCCCGGGAACGGAAGTGGCAAACTGTGCAGTTAGTGAGTGTGGTCTTTTCAAGTCACTCACTTTGAGGCGCGTTCGAAACGAAGTGCCAGTGGGAAAGCTCGCATTTCTTCTGTTGCTTGACGTAGCCAGGCGCACACGAACAGACGATGATATGTTGACATAACTTTCACCACCAGAATGTGGCAAGCGACTGACCACGGCCCCCAGCACTGTGCGAGTACCGCAGTGTTGCCACCGTCACTGCCATAGCCGCAAACGTTCCCTGCGGCAAAACAGCTATAAAACTTAAGAGAAATCTCAATAACGTATCGGCGGACTGCGGGCTGAGAACCCATGCTCTGATCAAAAAAAAATAGTATTACTGATGTCATTGGTGTTTGTGTACACTAGTCTACTTCAGTTAGGCAACCTGTGGAGAGGGTTGACGATTTCTAGAACAAACCGGCGAAAACGGGACTGCCCAAGTTTGTATAAGAAAATAAGCCAATATTTAGTTAAGATCTCTCAGTCTGTCGTGGGCGCAGGCCTACTTTGTGAATTCCAAAGACACTCGAGCTAACAGAAGTGTCAAGGCGGTCGTAACATGAAAGATTCTGCAGTGACAACACTGAAGCTGGCGATGCCTGCGATCATCACCGCACTTTTTGTAACCGCGTTGAAGTTAACAGTTGTTCATCTTCCAAACGACTCGTCGAAGAAAAATCCCCAAAAATAATTACGTCACGTCCGTGAAAATAAAGCAGAAGTTAATGTCGGAACGGTACACGCCGCGAATAAAATTGCTTCGTAGGAAGAATCGGCTAAAGCTGTAATTTCTCCACCGAAGTTCCGCGTTATGGCAGCTTACAGGGGCGTGGGCGTCGGTCTCCTCCAAGTAGTCTGAAGGGAGTGATGGACCGACCGACGCTTTTACGTCAGTGAACGAGGTTCAACTTCTGTCTGGACGGTGTCGCAAAAACAAACGTCCATTCTCCTACCGGGAGTCGTACGCCATTTTACCGACTGCCTAAAAATGAGGGCAGGAGACGGCGAAAAGGGCCAAAGTCTGGGAGAATTCAGCGTCTCCTGAACGGCGTAAGCAACAGTTGGAAGTAATCTGGGGGGAAATGGAATTCAAAACGATGGGGAGGGTTTACCTTCAGAGGTCGAACGTGTACGCTTATTATTATTATTATTATTATTCTGTTGTTGGTTCGCAGATCCAAGTGCCCTCGTCGGCGAAGCCCGCTGCCCTGCGCCAACAACTGACAGTCGGATGGGAGGGCACCAAAAACAGAACAATGGTCGTCCTGCTTGCCGCATTCGTATTGTGGGCGATCGTATTCTTCCCACTTCTGCACAGTGAGAAGATCTAGCACCTGTGCCAAGCTCGCGCTGCTGCACGTGGGGGGGGGGGGGGGGGGGGCCCATGAAATCTGCATTACGTCAATCATGTATCGCATAATAAATTAGGCAATGTGCTTCTATCATGGTATACACAATTTTTTACTTAAGGAACAAGTGTCCGTTTTATAAGCAGACCCTTCCCATAAGACTCTTCAACAAAATAATGTGTGTTTGTTTTCTTAAATGGCAAAGGCCAGAGGATTTGTAGCCTGTGAGGGCTCTGTAAGTCTCTGGCTTATAAAAGAAGTGGTGACGTCACACATGGCATCTTTCTGCTAACGAGTATCCTGTTTCTAGTTACATAACTTTCAGCCTTGAGCGAGATATTGATGGCAGTCATAAAATGCGGGTTGCGAAATTCATATATCCACTAGGGAGTCCTCTAAACCAGTGGTATTCAACCTGGGGTACGCGAAGACATCTTAGGGGGTACGTGAAATTAAAAAAATATATTATTTTATGATAAACACTGAATAATCAGTAATGTAATTTATTTAATTTATTTTAGACATACATTACATACTATGTATAACTTGAATTATACACCAACAACTTTGGGGGTACAAAGTTGAAGAGAAATTATATCTGGGGGTACGCGAACAAAAAAGGTTGAATACCACTGCTCTACAAGACTTACTACGGTCACGCAGAGTATGCGTGTGTTCGTCGAATTACTTACGCACATTGCCGGACAGCAAAGATTTCTGGGCTGTAAACAATACGTATGCCCAAACAGACAAACTTTGTGCAATAACACAGCTCAGTGATTCACGAACTTCTTTCTGGTGCCAGCACTGAAATACAAAAATATTTCGCATTTACTATTTTACATTTAAGAAATGAACTGAGCAGTATTTACTCAGTAGGAAGGATGGACTCGCATACTTGAGACATCCTGGGGTGGATCCTTGTCGCAGGCGAAACTTCCATCACGTATTTCTCGCCGACTGCAATTGTCGTTGAATTTTTGATCCGTCTACACTGAGAAGAGTTAGGTCTGAAAAGCGACTCTTAAAGTGGTTCAGAACTTCACGTTCATTTCTTGGAGTTCACAAAGTGTTTCGGGAATTCCCAATGGCGTTGACAAACAATGCGATCTTCTAGGTTGTAATACTTTCCGTCATCAAAATAAAAACGACTTCTACTCCGAAAATGGCGACGTTTCCTTCTCCATCTGCTAGACTACATGGCGTCACAATCTGGCCCACAATCCACATTCTCACTACAGCGAAAACCCGGAGATTCCACAAAAGTCTCGTAAAAAGATTGCGTGGAATCTCTTTCGTGCTCTGCGCAAGTTGCCTGTGATGTTTGTCAACAAAAAACAAACGGAGACCGTGTAAAGCTTCATTTTCAATGCTCTTTTCGTATATGGCGACTTTTCCTTGGCCCCCACTGAACCCGATGACATGCCGTTTTCTTAACGCGTAAGAAAATAATGAAGAAGTGTCCTTGGCGTTTAACGGGCGGGGTTATGACGTATACCAGGTGTCAATATTATTGGCTCAGACGCGGTGTAGACGTCACTCCCGCCGATACATTGGCGGGTGAGAACGAGAGATCTGTTGAGGAGAAGGAAGCGGAGGGAGGCCAAGGAGTTTCTGTGGAGCTTGGCTAGTGTTAGCTGCATCTACTGACCAGGATGAAGTTGCTCATTGCATTGATTTTTACTCCGTTTATCGCCAGTGTCTGGGGTAAGCGTTTAATCAGTTTTCATTTCCTGTGCTTGTGCAGTATCTGATGTAGGTCCGAACTGTTCCGTTGACATTATCGTCGTAATTCCGGTCACTGGCTACTCTCGTTTGTCGTCTTGGACTGGAAATCTTCATTTCGAACGACGTTTCAGCTAGCGTTTTATGAGTAGCAGCTCTAGAACAATTTCTGTTCTTTAATAATTAATTAACAAGTAACTTCCGACAACAGTCGAAAGTACTAACAATCAGAAACAGGGTTTTACCTAATGGATAAGGCGCAACGTCGTGTTTTTATAGCAGTCGTTAGAGATTTGAGACAATATGCCGACAAGAGAAATGATACTTTAACAACAAATCGTGACAGTGAATAATGAATTGGGAAGGAAGGGAGCTGACAAGTTAAGGTACTATCCTGGCATTTCCCTGGAGGGACTGAGGGGGGAAAACCCCCCCCCCCGAGCCAGAATAGTCAGTCCCCGGGCAGAGATTTGAACCAGGGACCTCCAGAATACAGAGCAGGTTGTACTTGTAATCTAGTGTTTGTACCTTACACATCCTAGAATATAAAGTGCTGCAGACTTTCTGGGGTATTCCTGAGTATGCATCAGATCTTGATGAAATTGTTTGGGATGGTCAGTTGATTCATTTTAAGTTTAATTAACTTACTTTACTTAACTTGCTGTTCCAGCACATGGCTTTGGCACTGATAAGTTCTTCCAGTCTCCTAGAAATTGCAGTTGAAGACTCAACTAATCTTTTTATGTTTTAATGGATTATGTAGTGTGTGGAAGCAGTGTTCCTTTCACACATGGGCTTGTGTTATCAGCTGGTCTTAACATAAAATAATGTAAAATAGCAAGTTTTGTATGAATTAATAGTGTAAGATGTTAAAGTAGTCAGTTTTAATAGGGCTAGGAGAAAAGCTTATGTAAAACTGAAACTGTACAGTTCTAACATGACCTACACATCATCAAACA